TACGTATGTATGTATGCATGTATATATATATATGCGTGTATGTACTTATGTATGTTTGTATGTCTGTTGTGTCTGCGTGCTTGTCTGCATAAGTGTACGTGTATGTATATATATATATGTAGAGACTCACACACATATATATATATATGTACACATACATACATGCACATGCGCACATATTGTGTGTGTATGTACGTGTGTGTGTATATATATATGTGTGTGTGCACACATGTATATGTATGTACATGTGTGTGTGTGTGTCAGTATATATATATATATGCACATACACATGTATACCTATCCGTATATATATATATATATGTCGCAAGATTGAGGTTTTACTCACGCAGCAGGATCACAACAATAGAGAAGCGAGGCACTTCTCTACCATAACATGTGTGGTAATACAGCAACTTTATCTTGTGAGTGCACTGTGTGTTTTCGTAGAGCGCTATTTGTACATGGGTAGCGGTATTCGGAACTGCGAATCACATTCGAACTAAGCCCAGCCAAGAAACCCACTAATTCCCAAGCCAACTTTTTTCAGAAGTCATTAGGGGATCGGATAGTTGCTGTGACATCCTTCCGCACAGTGTCTTCATGTACGCATGGCAGGAAAACGCTTCTCCAGTCAGCCCCAAACCCTGAGCCCAAAAAACTAAGTCCACAAAAATACAACCCGCAAACCCCGTTAAGTTAAAAGCCTAGGCCCTCAACCCTAAACCCGAAACAGACAATAATATTGTTTAGCAGAATAAGCCTCAGGCCACTCTCCCTGGGTTCCTGGGCCCCGGACTTGGTCTGGGGGCCCGCTGTGACAGCCTCGGTGCACTACCACTTCCACTGGCTGCTTGCCATGAGAGTGTTGAGCAACACCCCAATTTGAGGGTACTTGGAGGGTCCTGGTAGGCTTTCAGGTTTCAGGGGTGCTAGATTTGTGCGGCTTTAGGATTCCGGGTTTTCGGGTTGTGGGTATTTTTTTGTTTGGGATTTAATTAGGGTTTCCTGAAGTCAGGGTTAGGGTTTACATCTGAAGAACTTTTGCGGCTTTGCGTTTGAAGTTTAGTGCCGGACGTTCATTGCTTGATACACCCTTTGGAGTGTTCCAGCGTTTGTTTCTGCCGTGGTCGGTTGGGCTTTCGGTTTAGGATCGGTGGCTCGAAATCAGGAGTTTTCTTAAGCATTCGAGATACTTTCGGATGCTTGTAGCAAGGCTTCGACCCTTCAGGGCCTTACCGATGTACTGCTGTGAGTTTTGCTTTATTGGCTGTTGGCTGATGATGTGAATGTCACCTTTCTTCATGGTTGTTCTGTTTGCGCCCCATGGTAGACCCAGTCAACTTTTTAAACTACAAGCGAAACTGCAAACCACCCTTAAAGAACCCTAAACTCTAAACCCTAAGCCCTAAACCTTATGGAACCCTAAACCCTAAGCCCTGGACCTTATAGAACCATAAACCCTAACCTTCGAGGAAGCATTAATATAAGAGCCTAAAGAATTACCAACAGTATCCTAATTATAAATTTTATACCCCGCAACCCTTTGCAAATTTATAAGGCCCCTGCGTTAGTTAACGTCTGAAGCTCAGGACGTGATCTCATCGACAGGCGGTTCGCTCGGCTTCGGTGGGCCCATTGACGGCAGCGGACGCCTGCTGATGAGGCGGTCTTACGGATTCCTTTAAAGGGATCTACAAGGGTTCCCTTAGAGGGATCTACAAGGGTTCTTTCATGGGTTCATTTTTTCTGGATTCTTTCCAGGGCAAATTCTGCAGAAGGCTTAGGGTTTTTTGTAAAGGAGGTTCTAGCTCCGTACCTCCGTTGCAACTGGTTTATGATAGCACAGACCCTCGAATGAACCCTAAGCCCTAAGCCCTAAAGTTCCGCATGTTCAAAACATTCCGGGCTCGGAGAGGGGCTTACGGGGCCCAGAGAGTTTAAGCCAAGGCTTCACGGTTCAGCTGAGGTGGAGGAGGCTGTATGTTTTAGCACGGCAAGACCTGAGTCGGCTAGGGACAGCTCCAGGCTCGACACAGGCCCAGGCAACCAAGTTTGGCAGCCGATGGTGTGCGGGTTTTTGCGGAGCCGCGACAGAAGGCCCGCACACGCATGACGTGTAGCCCCATCTGCCGTTACTATTTGTTCGGCTTCGTGGTCAAAATCCTCGTATAATGTACGCCAAACCCCGGTTCTGATCATTGAGGCCCCTACACTACCATACGTCGCCGCTAGCTAGCGGGCAGGTTCGGTAGCCGTATTGAGGAGGACCTCCTGTTACACCCTTACCAAACCGGAACACGTCTGGTCATTCAGTTTCCAGTGCTCGGATTTATCGGCAAGTTCAACCCTGTCGACCCTAACCTTAAAACTTTCCCCCGAGCGCTCGCAAGGCAACGCGTGATGCTGCGACTTAGAAGAACGAGTCGTCATCAAGGGCTACAGTTGAGCGTGCGTTGCGACCGTTGATCGTTCAGAGTTTGTGCCCCAACCAGAAAAGAAGCACGCTAATCATACACCCAAGTAGTAGTGATAATGGTAATGAATGAATTACCTGTGGGTGGGATGAGAGGATGCACGGAGACTCAGGGCTGGGATTTTGTGGGGATTGCGTGGCGCCTACACGAGAGGGTTTAGGGCCCTTTAGGGTTTAGGGTCCAGGGGGGTTTAGGTTTAAGGGTGAGCTACATCGAGCTCGAAATGCATCCACGCCGGAGTCTGCCATCCGGTTAGCCTCTTGGACGAAGGTCTTCCTGATCTTCTCCATGCAGCCATGGGGCCTTCTTTGGCGCGGCTGATGGGCGTCAATCAAAGCACGAGGAACGCCTCAACCCTAGACCCTAAGCCCTAAACCCTAAAATCATCCACCGAAGCGCGGGAGCATGACGACTTCTGCGAAGACTGTAGGCTGACCGGCCTGGAATCCCGGGACGTCGCAATGCGACAATGGGGGGGACGCTCAGGATTGCAGATTGGGACAGGTGGAGTCGTATTGCTGGCCCACTCTTGCCCCTCCAAGCCGGTGAAAAACTGTTGATGCTATAAATCCTGCAGTGCCTTGGGGGACCCTAAACTATGGGAATTATGGTATGGTATATTATTTTTATTTATGGGTGATGCAGGATTTATATCTTCAGCCGAAGGTCTAGGGTTCAGGGCGAGCCCCTGTGACAGAATGCTCCGTATGGCCAGGCAAAAGGTAGAAGCAAGTATCTTTATACATACAGCCAGACCAGAAACCCTAAACACAACCCGAAACCCCTTTTAAAGGAACACTATAAACCCTAAGCCCTTCTAGATCCCTTTGAAGGAACCCTAAACCCTAAACCCCTAAACCCGAAACCCGCAACCCCAGACTCTGAACCCGAATCCAGACCTCTGCCTTTCGTTTTGCCGGCACGAGAAAGCAGGATTTCGTGGCATGGGTCTCCGTATGAAAACCTTCTAGCAGTGTTTGGCCGTAGCGCTTCCAGGGCTGAGGGTTTTAGGGGGTTTAGGGTTTTGCGGGTTTAGGGTTTTGGGGTTTAGGGCTTAGGGTTTTGGGGGTTTAGGGTTCAGGGTTCAGGGTTTTGGGGGTGTGTCGCGCCGCATGGCCCTCTCAGTCTCAACAAATTCCCAGATTGAAGCCTTGAAAGGACTGGGTTTAGGGGTTAGGGTTTTGCGAAATACTGTTGATGATAGAAATCCTGCAGTACCTTAAGGACCCAAAAGTATAGGAATTATGCTATATTCCCTACTATGGGTAATGCAGGATTTATATCATCAACCGTATTGCGAAATTCTAAGCCCTAAACCCTAACCCTAACCCTAAACCCTAAACCCTAAACCCAATTCCAAACCATCCTAAACCCCCAAAATTCGGGAGATCCCAACAGGCTGCAAAACAAGATGCCCCAAAAGGGCCCGACTCTCAGAGATGCGAAGGGCAAGGTATTCAAACTCTCCCCTCAACAGGTCTCCTGTGTTCGCACCCTTGTTGTTAAACTCCCCTGCCTTGTGGTTGTTGTGTGTTTCGGATTTAGGATTGAAGGCTTAATGCATATAGGGTTTAGGTCGCTTCGGGGCTTCTGCAAACCCTAAACCCTGAACGGTTTAGGGTTTAGGGTTTAGCAGCCCCCAAGCCCCTAAACCCTTATCCAAAAGCCCTAAGCCCTAATCAGCTCTACCTAAACCCCCAAAAGTAGGTAAAGCAATGGCCCGAAGCCATAAAAAAAGGCTATGTTTCTACATACTTGTGGGGTAAGCCCTTTATAGGCCCTTCTATGCCCACTGTACCCTGACCTTCGACCTTCTCGGCCCCATAGGGCCTTCGCGTCAATTTGTCACTTTAGGGTTTAGGGTTTAGGGTTTAGGGGAAGGACCCTATAGTTAGGGCCCTAGACCCCTTACGGACCCAATAATAAGGTCCCTGGAAGCCTAGGGTTAGACAAGGACGGACATCCACGACGGCCGCAGCTGGGCAGAGTTTGGAGTTTACCAGCACCCTCCAACTACCTTCTACTATACCCTGAATACCCACTATTAAGGACCAGGAGGGCTCTGTTAAATGGTATTTGGGGTGGTGATGGCAGGGTTTTGGAATTAGGGTTCAGGGCTTAGTGTTTAGGGTTTCGGGCGAATCTACGGAAACTCCCACTGATTGGAGAGCTCCGACGTCGCATAGATTCAGCAGCAGCCTGCAAGCTCTCTACCCAGAGAACCCAATACCCCTTAATTAAGGTTAAGGAATATACCTTAAATCCTAATATTAAGGCCCCTACAATCTAAGGCATATTCTTTAATTAAGGGGTATTGGGTTCTCTGGGTAACTTTCACTTCAGTTTCAAAGCCCCCGCCCAGACTCTACTTTGTAGCCTCAGATGTAACTCCTCCCTAAGGACCAAATGACCGTTAAAAGTAGGGGCCCTATACCCTTATACTATGAATCCCTATATGGTATATGAACCCTAAACTAAACCCTTTTAGGGCTTTTTTCGTCCTTAAGGCTGTCCAGACACCCGCATTACCTCGAAGCAACGTTCAACGGCCCGTCTTTTGAGGCTGCTAGCCCTGACCCTAAACACTAAACCTCAACATGTTAAATCCAAATTCCGAAACCAGAGTTTTCTCAATTTGTCAATCCTCTATAAGATCTTCAAGGGTTTGGTCTTTAGGGTTTGGGCTGTTGTTGGGTTTAGAGAATTTGAGATATGACACGGTCTGCGGCCAGATATGACAAACATGAGTGGTTGAAGAGCTTCTTGAACTTCATGGCAATAGCAATATTTCGCTGAGTCCACTGCAAACTCTGCAAGATCTGTGCTGGATCATTGAGAACAGAGATTGGCGAACAAAAACCCAGCGTGGGCTTTTTGCCCGCAGACGTTGCTGAGCTGCATCGCAAAGTTTGCTGCACTCGTCAGCGGCCGCAAACGGTAGGATGAAGGCAGGTAGGATCAAGCATCCCTGATATAATGCCTACCATCCTTGAATCCCTTTGAGCTAAGCACGCCAGCACTTATCAGCCGGGTGAGGCCGTAGGACTGGCGGTTTCGGGTCCTATAAACCCCAGACCTTAAAGCCCCAGAAAGCCCCAAACCCTACAAGCCCCTAAAAGCGCTCGTCGGCCTTCGTGCTGAGCTCGAGAACCAGTCGTCTGCATGCGATGTTAGCTGAGCCCTCCTTTGCCATGTTGAACTTGGTGACCGCTGGGGCCTGCTCCGACTCTCCCTAAACCCCTAAACCCTAAACCCTTTACGACCCACTGGAGACCTGTTGGTCCTGAGAGTCGATCGATTCTGGTCGCTGCCGCCATCGTCGACGGCGATGATGGCCTATCCATAGGCCCCTAAGTAGTTCCTTTTTGGGATTACCTTATAGGCTTCTAGATATAAACCATACAAAGGAACTACTTAGGGGCCTACAGGTCGGTTGTCCGGGACGCCACGCGTGCAGGGCCTCAGCGAATGAGACTTTAGCTGCGCCTGTGGCGCACATGTGTCAGTGCATAGCTGCATGGACTGTCGGCAATGCAGATCGACGCAGTCTCGGCCAGCAGGCTAAGAACACATGTCATTCAGCAACTGTGCAGCCTCACCCGTAGCCCAGCACACATCACTCATAAACCTAAAAACTTTAAATCTGAAGCTTTGAAGGCAGCCCTTAAAACTGAACACTGAACACCACGAGATAAGAACTGAAGGGACTCTGGCCTTAGGGCTTGGGACGGCTAGGGCTAGGGATGGTGAGCGGCTGTAAGGGTGGAGTCAAGCAGATACGATTGATGATATAAATCCTGCATTACCCATAGTAAGGAATATACCATAATTCCCGTACTTTAGGGTCCTTAAGGTAATGCAGGATTTGTATTATCAACATTAGGTCTTTTGGGGTTTGGGGGCTTAGGGTCTACTTGCAGGGTTTGGGGGTGAAGCGGTTCAGGGTTTGGGGTTTAGGCTTGGACCTGGATCTTCGTCAGGGCATTGAGTGAGTGACATCAACCACCAAAATCCCAGGCAAGAAGGTGTTCATGCGCGTGCCGGCGCGGTCACTGATCAGGCACCGTTGTGGGTTTAGTGCTTCATGAGACTATGAAGGGTCTATGCACGAGGGCTTAGGGCTTAAGAGCACGGTGCTGGACCTAAATGGGTACTTCCCTGAATTAGGGTTGCTTTTAGGGTTCTTCGTATACGGGTGCCATACCTTGTTGGGGACCTGAAAGGGGACCCTACTTTACAGAACTACCCAAGTAGCAAGCACTCACCTGGACACCCTTTGGCAAATCCTGAAGCCCAACGGAAAAGACCCCGGAGTTCACCAGCATCCCAGAATCGCCAAACCGTGCAAGGTCTAAAGCTCTAGAGATCTGTGGAGGCTGTTTCTTCCCTGCAAAAGCGGAAATGCCGAAAGTCTAGTAACCAACATGATCACTGTCAGACCCACAGGCCTAAACCCTAAGCCCTAAGCCTTAAACCCTGAACCCTAAACCCGAAGCCCTAAGCCCTAAACCGGGGTCCAGGTGTTCCCTGGGTTCAGGGTTTAGGGCCTATCCTTCAATTCCCAACCCCGAGCCTCCCGTCTCCCCGAACAAGTTTAGGTAGGGTTTACGGCTGATGATATAAATCCGGCATTACCCATAATAAGGAATATCCATAACTCCCATAGTTTAGGATCCTTTAGGTAATGCAGGATTTGGATCATCAATAGTAGGAGGCAGAATTCTGGGATACGCATAGAGGGATGTGGACCCTGAGTGAAAGAGATGCTTACCGCCGCCATCGATGGTAAACATCTTCTGTAAACCCGGCTGTAAACCCCTTACAACCCCTTCTCGCCAGAAACCCCGGCCTTGAGTATACTGGTACATGCGAAGTAGTCGATCTGTAGCGTAAACAGTAGTCCTGCTGTAGTCCTTCCCCTGATCCTTCAAAATAATGCCAGAAATCACGCTAACCCGTCTAGGATCGCCGTGGTCTCCGCAGATGCTGAATCCGTAGAGGTGCGAGGGCTTGCGAGAAAGACGTGTTGAGCTGGGCTCCGAAGGGTCAAGTCAAAAGCATCGCCGACACACGGACCCTACCCTGAACCCTCCCCTTTTGCTCATTTTCAGGGTGTTGTGCACAGACACCGCCTGGGCTTGCCGATAGAAGGAAGTTGCGGCAACCTTGATGCCACCGTAGACATATATGAACTCCATCCTAGCAGCGTGGACATTAGCTGCAACACCGCCAGAACCCTAAACCCTACACCCTAAACCGCCGCACCCTGAATCCTGGAACCCGGAACCAGGTGGTTTTGGAGGACAGCGGCCACCAGCCCATTGTCCCGGCCAGCCTGGCGGCGTTTGGTGTGTGGACGCTACCCTCAAAGCCCAAAACCCTAAAGCCCAAAACCTAAACCCTAAACCCCTAAACCCTAAACCCTAAAGCCCAAAACCTAAACCCTAAACCCCTAAACCCTAAACCCTAAAGCCCAAAACCTAGAATGCTCAACCTAAACCCTATAAGCACTAAACCCTAACGTTTCGGGTTCAGGACCCAGGCAAGGACTGGAGGGAAGAAATCAAGAGCCTCATGAGAATGAGACATCTGTTTCTTTCGTAGATCCCCTATCAGAATGATCGTATAGACGAAGCCCCAAACTCTAAACCCTGAACCCTAAACCCTAAACCCTCCCTAAACCCTAAAGCCTAAACCGTCTGAGCAGACATCCCTAGAGATTTTTGACTCCATTCGATGAAGGCTCCGATGTCATGAACTTGGGTTCGAGGTTTGGGCTTTGGGCTTAGGAGATTTCCGAGAGGAAGGGAGGCCCGTCTTCGCCCTTCTTCCGAACCTAGGGTTTAGGGCTTAGAGTTTAGGGCTTGGAGGGTTTGGGGTTTAGGGTTTAGGGGTTTAGGGTTTAGGGTTTTGGGTGTGGGGCTTAGGGCTTAGGGTATAGGGTGTAGGGTTTAGGGCTCAGGGTTTGCAGGGTTAGCCCTGCGTAAAGGCTAGGAGACTCCGACACATGAACAGACCTTAGACAGTATATCCGGTCAAGGAGGGAATCTTTCTGAAATCATAGAGGGTTAGGTTCGGGAGGCAACCCCGAAGTATGATCTTTGCTTGGTTCGGCTCTTTGTGCCACTCAGGGGTCTCACCTCGGAGCCTTAGTACTTGCGAAGCCACCACCTTCTTCAAGAAAGCCCTGAACCTAGCCCTAAACCTACAGACAGACGTCGGAAAAAGGGGGGGTTCAACGAAGAACCCTACAGACAGTACTTCTTTCTAGCCAGCTTGGGTTCTGAGGCTCAGCCGAAGCACGGGAAGACCATGGAAAAGATACGATAGCTCTCAGGGCCCTGAGACGAGGATGTAGGGTTCAAGGTTTAGGGCTCAATTTCCCTAAGCCCTAAACCCAAAGGGTTTAGGGTTTAGGGCCACAAGCCCTAATGAACTCTAAAGATTGAATTTTAGGGTTCGGGGCCCTAGAAACCCTAAATTCTTCGAGTTTAGGGTTCGGGGGTTCGGGTTGGGGTTTAGAGTTGATGCCACTCCCCAGGCTGTTTAAAACTCCCCAAGCCCAGTACACCCAAATGTCAAATGGCTCGGTTGGACGGGCTTTGGGGTTTTAGGGTTTAGGGTTCAGGGTTTGGGCTTTGGGGTTTAGGCTTAGGGCTTAAGGGCTTACGGTTTAGGACGAGCCCTTGAAGCATGCCCCACAAAAGCCCACTCCACGAATCCTCAAGCCTCTGCGCTAATTATGCTGGAAATTCAGAGCTCTGAACTCTAAATCCGAAACCTTATAGGCCCTATAAACCCGAAACCTTGTAGGCCCTATATATCCGAAACCTTCAAGGCCGCCCTATAAATCCTGAGCCCCAAAAAGTCCCCAGGCCTCGAGTCTTTCATCCCGCAGCCGCATATCGCCTAAAGCCCTAAGCCCCTAAATACTGAAGCCCTAAACCCTAAGCCCTATAAACCCTAAACCCTAAGCCCCTCAACCCTAAACCCCTTAACTAAGGCCCTAAACCCTTTAACCCCTAAACCAGTAACCCCTTAACTTAGGCCCTAAACCCTTTAACCCCGACGCCCCCAAACCCAGAAGCCCCCTGAGTGTGGCCAGGGGGACACTCACATTCTCGGTTCCGCTGGTGGACGCGCAGCAAGCTATTCCTTGGAGGTCCCACGGTGTGTTAATGTAGAAGCCTAAATAATTACCCACATTATTCCTTAAGGGTGTCCTATTACAGTATGAAAGAGCCTAAAACCCTATTCTAATGATTTAAGGCTCCTACATCAGTGTGGGCTTGAGGGCTTAGGGTTTCTCGATGGCCTAGGGCCTCATGGTTCAGGTGATTCTGGTGAGGACTCAGGGCCTATAATTAAGGTTTGTTCAATCGGGGTCTATGATTTTGTGGGTCAGGGTGTTTTGTTGGGCTCTGGATGTATTTAGGGTCCACGGTTTTGGAAGGGGCTTTTGTTCAGGGCTTCAGGCTGAGGGTTTACGCCGGGGCTTGTTGGATTGACGGTTTTGGGTCATACGAAGTTTAGTTTAGGTCGTGAGGGTATTCCACTCCCAAAGCCCAAGCCATTCACACCAAGCAGCGGTTACGGATCCTTTTGCTTTTTGTGGTTTGGATTTCCCTGTATCTTACGCAGTAGCTTGTGACCCTAAGCCCTAAACCCCTAAGTTTGTGCTTGGGGGTATGTCTCAACGAACGAGCCCGACGTCCTCGAAGCCCAACACTCAAACCCTGTAAGCCCCTACAGACATATGCTGACTTATGGTAACCTTGTTTTGTGAAAGCCTTGAAAGAACCCTGACAATCGTCGTCATGGTATCCCTAAAAACCCTTTACAGGAAGCCTTTGAAGGGAATGCGTTCTTATTGAGACGAGGCTTTTGACAGGCAGTTGCCCCTAAACCCCAAACCCTAAATTCTAAACCCCAAACCCTATAAACTCTAAACCCTAAACCTTCAACCCTAAGCCAAGCAAAGCTGGAGTTTGAACGATTGCCAAAGCTGGATGGCGATCCGGATTTTGCCAGTCGACAGAATGCAAGAAGATTTCAGAGCAGCGTTTCGCTCTAGCTTGAGCATTGTGCTAGAGGCCCAAACATAACTGGCTGTGGGAAGTCAACTCAAACTGTCGACTGGTTCTTGCCAGCACTTGAGTGCAACCCTGATGCAAAGTACAAGTTCATTGCTGTCACAGTACCGGTTGCAAATGAAGATCACCGACCGCTGAAAGGGTTGATCGAGGGAACATGGATTTTTGGACAGAACACGTTCTGACCAAAGGCTGGGCATCGTGTCTTCTATGCCGTTGAGGACAATGTGCTCAATCGCTATTCCAAGAACAACTGCGCGCTCAACCCTAGACCCTAAACCCCATTTCCCAAACTCCAGGCCCTAAGCCCAAGCCCTAAAAACCCCCAAAACACCAAAACTCCAAAGCACGAAAGCCCACCAACCCGACCAACCCTAGAACTCCTAAAAACAACCTAAAACCTTATAAGGCCTACAAACCCTAAAAGCCCTAGAAACCCCCCAAAGCCTTAAAAACCCACCAACACCCTAAAACCCCCAAGCCTCCTAAAACACTGAACAGCCTTTAAACCCCCAAACACCCTTAAAGCCCTGAAGCCCCAAGCCTTAGCAAAAAGCCAAAGCCCCAAAACTCTAAAACCCCTAAAACATGCAGGGTGGAGGAAATCTGTCAGAACCTCAGAGCGATTCATTCGCATCGAGGCTTCGAGAGGAGGGCTTTGCGCCTGTTGGGTTTAGGCTTGGCTTATAGGGTTTAGAGTTTAGGGCTTCAGGTTTAGGGCTTCGGGTTTAGGGTTTCGGGTTTAGGATTTCGGGTTTAGCGTTTAGGGCTTAGGTCTTGGGGCTTCGGGTTTAGGCTTGGCTTATGGGGTTCAGGGTTTAGGGCTTCAAATTTTGGCTTATAGGGTTCAGGGTTTAGGGCTTCGAATTTAGGGCTTACGGCTTGGGGTTTTGGGGCGTAGGGTTCAGGGGATCCTATTATCCTATAATACAGTTCAAGAAGCCCAAAACAAAATCCCATGAAAGCAGCCCAAAGGGTCCCTCTTACTAAGATAGATCCGTGATATGGCTTGCTTACTGTAGCGGTTACTTCTTCAGGTATCCTTGACCCTAAACCCTAAACCCTAAACCTAAACCCTGAGCTGCAAGGGACCTCTGGGTATCCTCTGAGGGTGGAAAGGGTTTGGGCTCCCAGGTCTGAAGTCTGTCGCTCGGTAGTGTTCCGCTCCATGTTTAAAGATAGGGTTTAGGGGTTTAGGGT